AAAATGGAAGTGGTTTTTTTGGGGGGTACTCAGGAATGCTCATAGTGTAAATAGGTCTGTTAATTATTATATGCTATATTGCTTGCATTTTTAACAAATGTTTAACATTATATTTATTTAACAATATAATAAATATATAATCTAATACTATTGATAAGTTTCTTAGATTTATAATAAAATAAGCAAACTCTAAAATACTGTATGTCCTTTTATAAAATAATGCAATTAAAACACATTTTTAAAAACTGTGTTATAAATCACTTGTTTATTTGAAACTTGGTTAAAACAGGGTCTATTTTTACATTCTTGCATACAAAAAGCAATTCAGCAAGTTTATTTCTGCAGTCCTTGGAAGCAGACATTTCTCCCCTCTGTCCCCGCAGTCTGCTTCATAGGGAGGAGAGCTGTAAAAGAAAGTGGATACTGCTCTGCAGCTGGTTTCATTTTTTGTTTTGATGAATTGATGCTGCTGATGTGGCAGTTCACATAAAATGTTATCTTTTTGATGATTATTTAATAATGCAGAATTTGGATTTTTTTGTATTGAATAGATTATCTCCCGGTTCTGACGTCTATGTCACCGTGTCATCCATTGCCTTAGCAAGATCACAGCAGTGTCGTAACTCTCCAAGTAATTTGTCATCCTCGAGTGAAACTGGCTCTGGTGGAGGGACATACAGGCAGAAATCTATGCCTGAAGGGTAGGCCTCATATGTATTTATTGCCTTATGTGTATGCTTGTTTTTGCTTGAGAATCTGAAGAGAAAAAAGGATAAGGTTACTCAATCCTATAACAAGTGTTCCTAATGTCATGGCTTCTTTATTCCTCATACACAGAAAAGTATGTGAAATTAAAGCGTAGTATTCTGATACCTTAATGTAAACAGTTTCTTGCATTGCCACATCTGCAGTGGCATCTTGAAAACCCATAATATTAGTTCTTTGCTAAAAAGTTGAATAAAACATTCCACATTCAAACTTTGCTTAACTCTGTGTGTGTGTGTGTGTGTGAGACAGAAAAGATATGTTCAGGACAATCCTGTCAGTGCATTTATTTGCCCAGATCCCAACTCATCCATTTAATTTGAACAGGATGCTATAACTTATTCATCTTCTTGTCATATCCCTTCTTCTTTATCAAATATTGCAGATGTAACTGGCATTTCATTCTTGGTGTCTATCATACTCTTGATAGATCACAGAGATTGCAGTTGAATATAAGAAGCCAGTTTAAACCAAAAGCAGTTGTTCCCATATTGTGTTACTGGGCAGATTAGAAGTGTAATGGATAACTAAATGTTTTATTGGCTGTAATTATGAATGGTAGCCTCTTAACAAAATTGTGAAGGCAAGCATACATAACAGCTACTATGACTGAATCTGAATGGTATCACTGTACTTGGAATATTCAGTATCTTAAAAGCCATCTTAAAACCATGGTTTAAAGGCCAGCCAAAATAGTAAGGATTTTCTGAAATAATTTCTTCATAAGAAAGGGTTACAATGCTGGGGCTTTTTGATTAGGAGAAATGATTAGTAAAAACAAGATAGAACTACCGTATTTTTCCAACTATAAGACAATACTTTTTTCTAAAATCTTTACGCTAAAAATTGAAGGGCGTCTTATGCAAGGAAGTAAGCCGAGGAGAGAACCGTGTGG